CACCTCCCACACCGGTGGAGCTGCCTGCAAGGGTAGCGTGCTCGAAAATAAAGAGTTCCTGGTGGGGACGGGGATTCGCACATCGTGCCTGCACTGGTGTCAGCCTCTGAAATAACACCACCAGGCTGCACCTTCTCAAACACTACGGGAGAAGTTGTGTAAGCCGACCTCTGACGAGCTCGTTTGCCCTAACGGGCGTGCAGACATTTATAATTAAGCAGGTGAAGCCAGATACACTCTCAGGTTCCGCCCTTGTGAGAGGTTGGCCCCAGGAGCCATTTCTCCAGCACACTGTCCCAGCCAAGAGGGACCCGTGCCACCTCTGGGCTGTGAGTTGTTTGGTCTCAGCAACCCTGGGGGGTTGGTAAGAGGTCATCTCTCTCTCTACAATGGATTTAATTGCCCCTGGTTCTGAGGCTTTGCCTGAAATCTTTCCACTTATGTTCACTCTGAAGCCTACTGAGGACAGAGCTGCAGCAATGGCAATCCTATGCGAAATTTTTCGTCGGGGAGGGTTTCTGTGCACAGCAGAGGTGGGAAAGGCAGCTGGCAGGAGCTTTAGGGGAAGGCAGTCAGACCCATCCGCCCATCAGACACGTAGCAGGGAGGAGCGGGGGAGAGAACACAGGAGGCTGAGGGCAGACGCTGGACGTGGAAGCACGAGACAGCCGGGTGGGAGCGTGGGTGCCGGGCACAGGCACAACCAGGCGGGAGGGGACAGCAGATGCGGTCACGGCCACACACAAGCACACCCAACGCCATGGCACGTACCGCTGGTGCTTCCCGTGCCGCTGCTGGCGCCCGGTCCGGGTGAGGAGACCACGGTCCGGTAGGTGGGCGGCGGAGGGGGTGGCGGGGTTGCTCTTTGTCCCGGCCCAAATTCCTTGGGAGAGGCGACCGGCTCCACGTTGTCATCCTTAAGGTGGGGCTGCTCAGAGACCTTCTTGTGAACCTCCTCCAGGTTGAGCGGCGAGGGGAGCAGGCGGGAGGGCTCGCGGCGGGTCTTCGGCCGGGCTGCCCGCTGCCGGGGACCCCGCTTTTTCCCAGGGCGTCAGCTCCGGTGTTGTGTTTTCCGGGGACTGATCGGAAAAATTGACCCACTTGTCTTCTGCGCTAACAGCAGCGGACTTGGGGGACGGCACGGGGCCGAAAATGCTGTCCAAGTCAGTGATGGACGGGAGTTTGCCACGTTTGAGCTCGGCCGCTGCCTGGTCCCCTCCTGCGGTCAAAGCAGTTTATTTTACACTTGGCGTTAACCGAGTCGCGCTCTGCTCTACACGGCTCTACCTCAGCTGCTTGCGAGAGGAGTAAAAAAGCTTTCGAGAGGAGCTCTAAAAGCGGGGTTTCTTATCAGCTGCCGGGGGATATAATTCACGTGCAAGAAAGTTTCTACGCCAGATCACGTGCGACGTGGAAAGAACCGCACCAAAACACAGACAGGGTGTGGGACACAGCATGCACCGGGGGCCCGGCACAGCCCCTCCGTCGCTTGGGACGCAGCCGCCCCGCAGCCTCCCAGAAATTCAGAGTTGGCGCTCAGCCTTCCCGCTCTGCCGTCTAGATAGCATCGCTACGTCATCATCGTCACGCTGAATGAGCGGCAGGGATTGAGTTTACACGCTCGGCTCTCTTGCACACTGTGTTATATATATTTGCAAACACAGATATAAATACATATATTTTAAAAATATATGTATTTAAAAAATAGGTATTTGAAAAATAATATATATTTGAAAAAA